GAAGGATTAGAGAAACACCAAAAAAACATCTTTACGGTCCAAAACTTTTTGTCGTAATTTGGAGCATTGGGAAATAGTTTGCTTGGGCTGATTTGGAGTCACTACCCATCATTCAAATGAAATAGAGGTAATGGGAACCCAAAGAACTATATCAAAAATGCCTGAGAGTGACTCTAAATTTGAGGCATCAACTAAATCAATCTTGATAAGACTCAGATGGAAGAGGGACAACGTTAAGCAAATGACTAAGAAAAAACCGAGTGTTAATTAATGATTGCCTCTCTTTGTTGTGAGGTAGAAAGCTACAAAACAATCGAAACAAAAGAAGCACATGAAAATCTTACAAATGGTAAACTGTTGGAGTAGGGTTAGAATCCATTAGATAGATGGCCAAACCATGCAAGATGGCTGGCCGAAATTTCAAAAAAATATTCTTTCACGGGAACCGGTTTCTCAATAAATTGAAATCTAAATTTTCAAGATCATTCTTTGTATTGAACTGGACCAGATTTGAAACCAAAGAGAAAGGAGATTACACCTGATAAAAAGACCACAAATCACAACTCCCAAGGTGGTAGTTCACACCCAATATAAGTCCCAAAACCGTTCTCCAACTGAGGATAGAATAGTGTACAGAGAGCCAATTCAACAACACTTGTTTTCAGCAAATTTGCTATCCAAATTGTTTGGATCGAGTGGGGTAATTGAGCCTGAAATTCTTTTGAGCTTTTGCTTGCAAAAACAAAGAAAAAAACTTATCAAAATTAGTCCTTGAAAGCCTAGGTCATTTAAGGTTCCTTGGGAGATAAAAGAGAAGGAGAGAGAACAAGAGAGAGAGAGATATCCAAGTCTAGTTTGCCCTCTTCTTCTTTTATCTCTTAATGGAGCACTCCCTTAATCTAATTAGTAGATTATCTAGATTTGAATTAGATCTAGACTCTTTTAACAATTAAACATTACCCTCTTGAGAGGATGAGTGCTCTATAACCAATACCAAACCCATATTTGACATAGAGCTTGTCATGTGACAACTTAATTAATCTTATTAATTTAAGGCCTTTGGCCCATTTTCTTCAAAGACTTATGACCCTAGGTGTTGCATGGCCACTTAGGCTTGATACTGTATGGAGTGGGACCCTACAAAGGTCTCTCTCAAGTCCATAAGGGTCTGACCCCATCTCTTGTAAGAGGCTAGGCTGAATTCACTATTCAGACCAATGAACCCCTAAGCCAATCAGCATGGGTTCAGTCTGGGCCCAACATTTACACCTAAATGATTCTTGGATTCAACCATCCTGTGAAGACCCAATGATAATGGACTTAAGTGATAGGTAATCAACCCAATAATGGTTTCTTACACTTAACCTCTCAACCCATAATGATCAAAACACCACCCGACAAGGAAGAACCTCTCCCTTGGTTATAAGGTGCAATACCACACTCTCTACTCAAATGGATACCAGGATTAAAACCTTTTACACACATTTTGTTAGACAGTTGTATGCCCTTAGCTTCAATCAGAAAGATGTACCTTATGAATTTATTGTAAATGAATAAAGTACACATTTGATTCATGTTCCTATGGTGTGTTTCTATGTAATACTTTTAAACTAGACACTTAATGAGACTTGTGTTAGTTTAGAATGTTCACAGCCATTGGGTAAGTCTGGGGAGATTTATC